AACACGGCAATCTCGTCTTGCTGGTGTGTGGCCAAACAAAACACTTTCTTCCCATGAGAGCACTTTGAGTTGAGGTGAGCGGTTGAACGAAGTCTTGAGCAATGCCTGTGCCAACATGTTCATGATGCCAGGCGCCCAACGAGCTAGCTCCCATGAGCCTTTCACTTTGGTCTTTCCTTCACTTTTCATCCTGAAGTTTTCAGGGATCAGCTCCATGTTGCCTGCAAATGTGGTCGGCTTGCAGACAGCACCTCCTAGCGGCTTCTGTTGAAAGGTGACCTCCTCCCAACCAAACTCTTCCTTCACTTTCTTCCATTCCTCCGTGCCCCAAAAACTGACGACCTCGGGCATATAGGCTTTCGGCGAGGCTGGTTGCTCCAATGCAAAGGAAACTTCATTGTGGATGCCCCGTGCCCTTCTCAAATAGGTCGCCAACATCTGTAGGAAGACCATCCTCCATAGCAACACATCATCATCTTCAATCTTTTGTCTTTCATCTTCGGTCAAATCCTTGACTCCATTCTCCTCTCCTCCACAACGCCTGATCGGCCGAGGTGCACCTTCAGCTTCCAAGGGAAAGTGTCGAAGAACAGATCTGGTGCGGCAATTTGGGCCTCCAACAAGACCCAGCAGTTTGTCCTCTAGGACAGACCTCACCAAACCACTGTAAGGCCCGTCAGCCTTCAGCATATCGTGACCTTCTCCTCTTTTCAAATCCACTTCAAGCAACTCAGCTTCTTTTCCTCCAGCTTGTTTCCACGCTCTTTCAAGCGTGAAGCCTTCACTTTCACCTGCATAGAGGTGGCAGACAAATCCATTCTTTCGCATGCTTCTTCTTTTCCTTCTGTTGGCTGGAAGTGTGGACCAGCTTGAAGGCGTCACCACCAACTTCTCCTTGACATGGAGCGGAAGCTGAGAGAGAACAGGATGGGTATTCACCAGTTGGTGCATCCATTGAACTTCAGCTTCAAACTCATCCGTTTCATGGAACTTCATCCCCTTTTTCACAAGCTCCAACTCTTCAATCAGCTGCAAAGCCAGTCGAAGAGGGACCTGTGGGCATCCCTCTTTGTCTTCAACCGGCAGCAATCCAAGCTCAGGGTGTTCGACCTGGATGTGACCACGCGACCAGCTGATCGTGCAGCCCAAAGTTTCCGCCAACTGTCCCATCACAATGATAGGCTCGATGTCTTTGTCTTCTGAGATCATTGCTCCCCCTGGGCTTATGGCCAGGGTAGTGACTTGTCCATCAGCAAGGGAGACTTGTACCTTCTTGTACATCTCCGCATTTTCTCCATCTTTCAAAGGCCTGAGCGGGTGAGTTGCAGAAGACCATCCCTCTGACCTTTTTGGAGTCGTCTCAGCCTGAAAGTCTTTTGTTTCATCATGTTGAGCTGCTGTTGAAGTCGCTCCATCACTTCTTTCCGCTCTTGATCCGGGGGTGCCGTCGATGTAGGAGACGATGTCGTCGATGAGGACGGAGATTGCTGCGAGTGCATGCTTTTCAACATGTCATTGGCTTCCTTCAGAAGGTCATTGAGAGAAGGTGTTCCCTTCCCCGCATCTTCACTCCGCTCCCCCTCTCCTTTCTCCTTTTCTTTTCTTGCAGTCTTTGCTTTTGGGGCGCTTTCCTTAATCTCTTTGGGTCTTGTGCATGCTGGTGACATATGGTCTGTCCCTCCACAGTTCCAGCATCTTCTTCTTTCATCACGTTGGTCATGCGAGAAGCCGCAGCTCTTGCCTCTTTTGCAACCTTGGTCGGAGAGGTAAAACTTGCACTTCGGCTTCTCTCGCTCCTTTTCTTTCTCACTTTCTTCCTTTCTTTCTTTACCTTCTTTCTGATCCCTCTGCTCCTCAAAGCGCTTCAGCTTCGGAGGTTCGGGAGGCTGAGGTTCTTTCTTTCGTGCTTGGTGATTCACCTGTTCAAGCTCTGCCATCAAGTGCTCCGCATACTTTGCAATGCCGTCATAGGTCGGAATGGAATCGACCGAGAGTGCACTGCGGGCCAATTGTAGCTTGAATTGCAACTCTGGATGAGCTCCAAGCAACTTGCGAACCAAACGAGTGAGCCCACGTGCCAGTATTGTTGGATCTGGCACCGAGACCCCCATTTCTTCTGCCCTTCTTTTCCACCGCAACCACCTCCGCAAGGTGCCAATGGCTGCTCCAACCGTCGAGGCTTCTTGTGGTGCCTCAAGAGCCGATAGAATGGCCTGTCGTTCGGCCAATCCTCCCGGTTGATATTGGACCATGCCTTTCGCCAGGATGCCCAGGGTCGTGATGTTCTTCGCAGCGACCACCTCTTCTCTCAGCGTCTCTGGGATGGCTGAAAGGAGAAGTGCGGAAGCCCTCTTTTCCAATCTCGACCAACGCTTCTGTGCCATCGTAGATGAAGGCTTTGGGGCATGGCTCAACCGATCCAAGGGTGTCTTGGCCATGTGTTGAGAGTACCATTCTTTTGCAGTTCTCAAGGTCTCTTCCCACCAAGCTTCACTGCTCTCACTGAGGTCGGCCATGATGGGCTGCAGCAGGAGGAGCCAATCAGCATAGTCTATTGGTGCTGACTCCTGATTCCATTCGGCCAATTTTGGAACTTCGACTGACGTTCGAACGACTTCAGCCTCTTTTGAATCTTCTTCACGGTGGCCCTTTATCATCTGTTTTTGAAGCGACTGCATGCCCTCCATGAGCTTCAAGATGATGGCCATTGTCTGTTGTTGCGGGTCTTCAGGGACCGGCTCTTCTTTCTTTTTCCGTGTTCCCTTTCCCTTCCCAGACCTTGCCGCAGGCCTGTCGAAGCCGCAGGTCGCTTCTTCTTCTTCTTCATGAAGATCTTCGGGCCTCGCTTCAGGTCGTTGTTCACAAGGCTGATTCCAAGAGGGTGGAACTGAGGAACTCAACTCAGCACTGCCATTTGGAGTGGCAAACACTTGTTCTTCTTCTTTTCTTTCATGTAAAGCAGTAGTGATCCTTTGCAGATCCTGCTTCAAGGTTCGATTCTCATCCAGGATATCCGCCATACGGCGGCGAATCGAGGCTTCGGCATGATCACGGGCCTTCAACACGGGGTAGATGCCAGTAGCTTGATCTTTCAAGCGACGATTCTCCTGGAGCAACTCTTGAATTTGGCGAGACATTTCCTCTCGCTCTTCATTCTCATATTCTTTCAACTCCTTCAGTCTTTTCCATTCTTCAAACCTTCTCAACTCCTTTTCACTTCCCCGGACACTTTCATGCCTTCCCTCTTCATCGCGGAGGAAGGTAGGTCTGGGTGGCATGGAGGTTTGAGGTGTTTGAAACCGGCTGTACAACCATGGTGCTTGGTCATACACGTTGCGCAAGTCTTGCAACTGCGCTGGAGTGAACAGGGGTTGGCATGTGGCGGCATCAGGTGGAGTAGAAATTGTGTGGGTCTCGACACCAGCTTCTTCGATGGCCAGTGCTCCTTCCCCTTCTCTCTCCCCCTGTCCCCGCTGCTTCCCTTCGCCTGCTTCTCCTCGGCCCAACGTAGGCTTTGGTCTTTCATCTTTTGGCGTCTTCAGTCTCACCTGTGAGCTGCTGGCAGGCTTTGGACCCTTCACTTCAGGCGTGCGTCCTCCAGCTGAGTCAGTGACCTTCGAACGGCTTCCATCTGGCGCCGTCGGAACAGCAGTTGAGGGGGTCTTTGGGGGAACTTCATCTTTCTTCCCTGTTTCCCTCTCACCTTCTTTTCCAACAACCTCCGCATCCTCTATAGGGAGTTCACCAGAGTGCCGAGCTTCATCTTCTAGGCGGCGCTGGGCCAGGGTTCATCGACATGGCGCAGGGATCCCAACAGTTGGGCTCATAACCTGATGTACGAGCGAACTGACGATCCCTTCTCGACCCTCGCACCGCACGCAAAACAGGGCTTTTTCGCGGACCTCTTGGTCTTCACTTGTGCATAAAAAGGCAGCTATGGATCTGCCATGTGAACATGCTTTCGAACTCTCATGAGGAATGCCGTGACTGCAGCAAAAAACAAATCATAAAACACAGTGTGTTTATATTTTTTACTGGTTTGGGCAGATTGATAGGTTTATGGGTTGAACAGTTGGAGAAGGGTATAAATCATAAAAATACCATTAAAACCGTGTGTTTTATGGTTTTTATACGTATGATGTGCACCCTTCTCCAACAAACAATATGGATTTATATAATATGTCTTTTTTACAAACAACATACGGTGGCTCCAGAGCTCCAGGTTTTGTTTATGGGGAAGAATACACTTTGCACAAGGGTGTGGGTCTGGTGTCGGGCCTCTAGGGGACTGCCATCACATGCCCCGCCCTAGGCCCTGGGCCCTCCTCACAAGTACCCCCAAACCCACGTAAAACACCCAACCAGGAATATTGAAGAGGAGCCCCAAAATCGGATCCTTGAGATCTTCCAGGGCGGCTGCATGGTCACAGGAAGGGCACAGTGAGCACCCAACAGTACCGCATAAGCCAATTGCCGCTTCGTAAAAAAGTGTAATAAAACTGTAAACCCAGATTATATCAAAAGTGAACAAAAACATAAAAAAACTATTTGGAAATACTCTTCACTTGCAGGCTTCCGAACTGTTAAGTTTAGCCACCAACATCCTTACCAATATCCTTTTGACGTCAATTGGGCACTTGTCTGACTGCGCGAAAACTCATATCTGCTTGATTGGGTAGTGGCAGAGGCAGGCATTCAGTGCAAATGCATTTAACTTGCTTTTGGCCATCTATGATGTGCTCAAGAGCTCTCGCAAAGGGAGCGAGGATATACAATTCATTGACATATTCTTCCAGCAGTAATTTACTGCCTGAAGAACGATGGCTGCCGCTGCTGCTGCTACAAGCTAAGAACAAGCCAACCAGCTGAACGCGCCTACTGTGATGTGACTTTCCAAAAGGAGTGGAAACCCTCTTCGCACATCGCAGCGGTGAAACGCTGAATTCAAGCACAAGAACAAACAATGACTGATTTCAAACTTCTTGCAAACTCATAAGTTTGTACCCATCAAACATGAAACAACAATTCCCCACAAACAACCAAAGACTATTGCTTGACATGGAGTTGCCCTGCAGAACCCCACTCACTATGAAGCGACTCTTCCACTCAAGACTCCTCAGGCTTTGCAGTCTGGTCTCCAACCTCAACTTCCACAAGCAAACAAAATCCGCCCGCACCGAAGGTGCCGAGGCGTTTTTATAGGGCACGCGCTATACGTAAGCTAGCATATGCAAGCCAATAGCTTTAGCTAGGGGGGGGCATTTTCGCTCTAGAATCCTGTGCTTTTTCACGTTTTTGGAACCAGCTTAAAATGCTGGAAGATGAATTCGTGCTATTTTGAAGCCCCTGGTGATGCAAGAAATGCCATTTTCTTCCTTTGCATGATTTGAATCATCTGCGCGGTAAAGTGCAATTGGACTGAGGCCGGACATTGGGCTCCCCTAACGTGGCTCAACATAGCTTCCACATTGCCTAACATAGCCCTAGAAGTCACTATCTAACGGACGTGTCTGCGAGATAGGGACTTGAACGCAAAACATGGCCCAACGAGGGCTCAAAAGGGACTGGAATAAAGTAAAGAGATTGCTTGAAAAGGCACTGTGACTAAAACGAACCCTGCCATGATCAACCATCCCACGCTGTTTCCATTGCATGTATTCTAACATGATATCGTCGGCCATGTTCGTTTCATACTGCATTCCTTGGCTCCAAGAGCACAAGTACCCGTTCCAGATCGTGTCACTTCCGGAAGCTCTCTACACCAAGGGGCCCCCCTAGTTAGACTACTTGTAAGTATCCTATGTATGGTTTTAACTTGGTGTAACTATGGTTTTAACTTGTTGTAACTTGGTGTAACTAAATTAAGTCTCACCGGTAGTTCTATGTAAGTTACATCTTAGATGGTTAGTTATAACTTAGTTGTAAGTAAGGACCACGGTAAGTTAAAAAAAGTTACGGAAGTTAGTTTTTTATGTCTGAAAATCATCTTTTTTCACATGTCTGAAAAAATGATGCCCAGGACCTGTTTTTCCTATATTTTTAATGAAAACATTGATTTTTTTGATGCTGTAAGCTCATGTAGTCGTTGACGTGGGTTTGCATAGAGGTTTCCGTGTTCCTTGTTTTTTGTGTTGTTGAGCAGGGAAGTTGTGTATACGGCAGGCCGCAGGAACCTGTTTTCTCTATTTTTGTATTGAAAGATCTGTTCATGCACTTGTTGACGTGAGTTTGCGTAGCTGTTTCCACGACGTTGTTTGTTTTTGCTGTTTGTTGAGCAGGGATGTTGCGTATGCGGCAAGCCGCAGGAACCTTGCGGTCCCCGCACGCGGCCCAGCCGCACGTTCCAGCAACATCGCGGCTCTAGCATCAGCCCTTTGATTCCCAGAGGCTTTGGTACCGTCTTTACATCTGCCCAGGCCAAAAAATATACAAGTGGTATCCGGGTGGTATCCGCTGGTATCCGGGTGGTATCCGGTGGTATCCGTGTGGTATCCGGTGGTATCCGGGTGGTATCCGGTGGTATCCGGGTGGTATCCGGTGGTATCCGGGCGGTATCCGGGTGGTATCCGGTGGTATCCGGGTGGTATCCGGTAGTATCCGGGCGGTATCCGGCGGTATCCGGGTGGTATCCGGTGGTATCCGGGCGGTATCCGGCCGGTATCCGTTGGTATCCGGGTGGTATCCGGTGGTATCCGGTCGTATCTGGGTGGTATCCGGTGGTATCTGGGTTTCCGATTTTGGATGTTTTGATTTTGTACCTTAGAGAGGTATTAACCTGTTCTTTGTTTGGCGGCATTCCGCCTATATGGCTGTTCTTTTGCGGCGGCGTTCCGCCTTTATGATTGTTCTTTAAGTTTGGCGGCATTCCGCCTATATATATATATATGTATATAAATAAATATATATGACCGTTCTTTGATTGTTTGTTTGTTTGGCGGCATTCCGCCTTGTTGCGGTTTGTTCGTTTGGCGGCATTCCGCCCACATCACAACACGGACACACGCACACATTTTGGCGGTATTCCGCCCACACACATACATTGATGCGGAATGCCGCACGCATAGAAACATTAGGCGGTAGTCATTTTTCTAAGGTTTTTGTTATGTTTTTTGAGAAAAATTATGTTTTGCAAGTTTTTTGCACACAGTTTCATTTTTGCAAAGATTTCATCATCTTTCACGCTCAAACTAGTTACAGCAGTTAGTAACTTCCGCAACTTTACTTATAACTAAGTTATGATAAGTTCAATATAACTAACTTATAACTTTTTTAAGTGTGGTATCTTAAGTTATAAGTTCTTTAACTAGGGGGGCCCCATGGTGTAACCACTTACCCGACCCGTCTTTTAACCCCACAACCACGATCACTTGAAAAAGCACTCTGACTCCAACGAACTCTACCAACGGCACCTGTTCCGTGACCATAGTGACTTCTAGGGCTATGTTAGGCAATCTTGAATTTATTCCAGTCCATTTTGAGCCCTCGTTCAAGTCCCTATCTCGAGGAAGCATGCTTGAGATAGTGACTTCTGGGGCTATGTTCGACCATATGCAAGCTATGCTCGTGATAAAATCTTACCGTTCCTGGAAAAAGCTATGTTTGGTCACGTTAGGGGGGGTATTTGTTCCAGTCCTTTTTGAGCCCTCGTTGGGCTATGTTTACGACGTTCACGTCCCTATCTCGCAGACACGTCCTTTAGATAGTGACTTTTAGAGCTATGTTAGGCAATATCTTTACTTTATTCCAGTCCCTTTTGAGCCCTCATTAGAAAATGTTACCGTTCCTTATCTCTGCTCCTGTTGAGCCAAATATCCGGCGAACGTCTCGAGCTACCTGCGGAAAAGATACACCAATTTGCGACGTTCCCACATTCTAGCGCTATGTTAGGCAATATGGAAGCTATGTTCGGCCACGTTGGGGGGGGGGGGTGACTTCTGGGGCTATGTTCAATGGAAGTACCTACCTTGACCCGTTCCTGGAGCATGACTGCAGTCTTTGAGCCCTCCCATGCGGTGCGGGCGGTTACCATCGCGAAGCGACGTGAATACACCACGCACTGCACTCTCAAATCAAGAAGCCTTTCCTTTTCTTGCATTTTATTATCATTACAAGTACCAGTGCAACCTTGTTTCTGACCTTCGTCTGGTCATGTCCAGTCAGAGTTGCGTCCTGTCTCAGGCCAACGCGAAGCCGCCATCGGTCAGGAAACTCCATATGTTTGGAAGGCCATGCTTTCGCAGTGCATAGTCCCTGGACAGCACAGAATCGAAGATCAGGTCACGGTGGTGAGACAAGAATCCGTGAAGGGAGCACCCTGTGATTTCGCCCTTCATCTCTCCCACCAGGTTTTGCGACTTCCCAAGGGAGAAGTAGTGAAAGCAATGGACCTGCCAAGTCAACGGTGAACGAGAAAGGATCGGTCTCAATCCTTTCCTTTTTTCATCCCCTTTTTTCTCATTCAAGGAGCATAGTAGTCCTACGTTGAAATGCCTACGGACATACTGTTGAACTATCACGACATCGACTAGAAACGCCTTTTGACGAATAAATGTATACTGCTACAGCACTGCCACCTATATACTTGCTTTCCTCTTCACTTTTTGAACTACTTGCTTTCCTCCTCCACATTGATGTTGGGCCCTGTTGGGGCGTCGCTTGATTTTTGTTTGGCATCCTCTTGTGAAAGTCAATCAATCTCCCTCTCCAATTCTATCTTTACATCTCTTGTTGCACACTCGACTCTTAAGTTAGATTCAAAGGCTGCTAACAATAAGCTTAAAATATCAAACCACTCACTCACAACATACTTGCCGCTCTTTTTGACCTGTTGCCTTGCAAAACACACACAAAACTATTTCCCTGGCGAATGTCAACCACAACTACCAGCAAAGCTGCAGGGTGCGAGTCTTAGAAAGGTTGAACAGGCTACGAGGACGGAAGGTAGCGAGATCTGTGGTGATTTTCAGTGATCCGCGAAGATTGGCAACGGTTTATGGCTCGTTGCAGCGATTATATATTTGTGGTGATCGACATCCAGTGGTGTTCCGAGATTGCATAGAAGGACGAATGGTGACTACACTCCGTGAATTCTTCTATATATAGATCTAACACGATCTAATTTTACAGTAATTATGCGGAAGACAGGAGGCCATGAAGACCCAGCATCACACAGCCCTTCCGTTGAGGCAACTGCCGCTGGCTTAAAGAAACCCTCCATCAACTGCACCGCCAAATAGGACCATAGGACATATTTGATCCAAACGACGCTCAACAACACGCAAATGAAACTCTGTTGACTGCACTGTGTTGGTGACGCAGTGAAGCCATGAACCAGTGACAACCCCCAACGCCTTCACCGCCCTTTCATCCCCCTTAGAATTTCAATGTCCTTGGTGGACCATTCTCTAGAAAAACGAGGCATTCACTTTTGTCTAGTAAATTGTTATGGCCAGGTAAAATCGCTGTCTAGAGTCTAGAACATGCTAGGCATTCTAGAAAAGCCAGAAACCAAGACCTTATCTTCATGATGTGTTGCCTCTCTAGGGAAAGGTCTTGTACAGGTTCCCATCGTGCGTTAAATCAGACAAGTGTAAAACCAGAAATGCATTTTCTAGAAGAGGTGCCATGGAAAGGGATGTTTGATCAAGATTCATCGATGGCCGAATGTTAAAATAACAATTTCCTAGAGATTTTCAGTTATCAATGACAATGATGAATAAATATCAAGCAACCAATTTCTAGAGCGTAAGATCTTGTACAATATTGTACAATCATGTACAATCGATTACAATCAGCTAATATTCAGCTACAAACATATTTTCAAGTATATTCAATTATGTTCATGTATTTTCTTTGACGTGCACATACATACACGACACAGCAACTGTTCTTTTCCACTCAATTTTTGCTCCCGAGTTTTCAGGACAATCATTTTGCTCTTGTACCTATTCTCGTATCCCATTATTTGCAAGCACAAGACAGCTATAGATGTCCTCTAGGAATTGGTAAGGTATGGTAAAACAAATGATTGTATCATCCATTGACAAAATGGTTTCCAGTTTCCAGCAATATATGGTGGTTGATCAATATTCTTTCATCCTGGAATGGCCATTCATCGCGGAAAAAAAGATATCTTTCGCGGCCTCATCGCGAAGCATGGTCCTACAACCATGTCTAGCCAACAGGAGCCGGAACATGTCATAGTATCACAAAATAGGGAGAGACATCTTGCAGCATGACCACAGTAGATGGTTGAACGTTTCCACAGCTACTCAGGGTCACTTGCAGCATCTGTTCGACAATTGTGCCAAATAGAGTCAGGCACAACTCAACCCAATCCTCGTGCCAGCTACCAACACAGGGTGATACAGCTTGGGGAATGTTGGGGGGCCTCAAGCTGGGAACCTAGACTTTAGCGGCACATTCGCGAAACTTTCGCGGATCTTTCGCGAAATTTCACTGATGCTTTCCCCGGGAAGCCGTAACATTTGCAAACATCTGCGCAGCCCGTCAGAGCAGCTGCAGGTCGTTGCCTCACTGTCAGGGCTGTGCCTACCCAGATTGCTAGCCTGTGACAGTGGGGACAGGAATCGGAGAATCCTTTACGCACTGCCAGGGCTCGGCACGGAAATGTTGAGGCTTCAGTTCGTTAGTCTGTGACATATGGGGACACTTCCGCCCACTGGCTCTGCCGGAGGATTGCCTTGCGTTTCTATTCTTTGTCAGTCCGGTAGAAAGGAAAACAATGAAAGCGATGACCTTCGATAAATCTTTCGCGGAAAAAAAAGATACTTTCGCGAACCTCGTCGCGAATCTTTCGCGGATGGTTCTAACAACATCTGAAAGGCTGTTTTATATAAAACTCCTTACACGGGGTTTTCGATCAACTCCCATATGGGGGCGTGTCTGACTAGAAAATGACACCTTCTCTACGGGACTTGGGCCAACCCTTTCTGTTGTAACTGACTCTGTGGAGCCGATGGCCTCGTGCCAAAATTAAACTTGGAAAGCTCTTGACACCTCTAGTCTAAGGCTACCTTGTTTACAAATAGCAAACATTGTTACTACTAGTAAGGCACTTGTTACTAGAAGCGATGCACTTGTTACTAGTAGCTTATTGTGTCTAATAATCTAAGGCTACCTTGTTTACATTCGTTTACATTTCTGCATATCTCATTATTTACTTGTGTCTACTTGCTCTACTGGTCGGTGGTGTCCCTGACAAAAAATTACTCTTTGGAGGTCAATTGAATCCTCGAAAAGGTTCACGTATCAAAATAGCAAAAGCAAAAACATATCAACAAAGGCTACTGTACCTTGATGTATGCCCTGTCTGCGTGTGTCCTGCCTCAAACTCCACGCCAAAGATGTTGTGGTAAGGAATTTCATCAGATGCCAAAAATGAGCCTGAAACGAAAACAAGCAAACACGGAAAGAACAACATGGCTTCCAGCATCTTCCAGTCCATTTTGCTTTCTGAAAAAAAAGCACATTGCCTTTCTTTCTTTCCTTGAGAGTCATTCGACCTTTCCTTTATTGTCTGTCTTCTTGTTAAAGGGCATGCTACTGGAATCTTCCAGCTGCTAGGATTTGAGGCGTGTGTCCAAGCATGCGATATACCTATTATATACCTTGCCTTGTCATATATTATATAGACCTTCCACCCAAAGAAAGCCACAAAAAAAAATATCCACCTCTCGGGTCAGCTGCAGCGGCAAAGCTTAATTAGGTGGGCTTGGTCGCTACCATCGGCTCACTGCTTCTTGTGCTTTGCTTTGCAAGTGGGTGGGTGACACATGGGGGCCTAGGAAAGAATTGTATAACACTTGGTTTAATGGTTGTTCAAACTGTGGTCTTTGATTCTGTTCTGGGGTCTTATTCTCCTCACCCAACTCAGGATCATTGGCTGCCTGCTCACCCCTCTCTATTCTTTTCGCCACAGTGGAGACAGTGAAATCAGAATGCTTGTCACAACAGCAACAAATGGTCAACGACTCACCCCAGAGTTCCTTGGAAAGAATGTCTGGAAAAAATCCAAAAGTGTGATTGCTGTCTTCCGAATCTGTGACCACAAAGATCTCTCTCCTGAAAAGCTCAATTATCCACCAAACCTGACAAGAAAGTGGGGAACTGCAGGGACGGGATTTCAAAACAGAGGTAATTCTAGTACATGCAGAGAAGCAATAACGAATTGAATCCAAGTCAGGGGCAATGATGAACAAGTTAAATGGTACACACTGACACAGAATAACACCAGAGTAAAGAATATTTGACTCTGGTATTCAGTCCTTTTCTGAACACAATATTTCTCGTGGGTCCTACCTGTACGTAAGTTATTTCTTGAACATCAAACCCACACACAAACAAATGTATACTAAAGGAAAGGTGGCAAATTGTAGCTTTGTTTTAAGGCTGATGTAGGGGTATGAATACACGCAAACGATGCTTCGTCAGTGCAAACGCCGGAGCACCGAGCAAGCTTGCTTCGAGGGAAGGGGCTCAGGGTTCTCGGGAGAAATAAACCAAACTATATATCTAGAAGCCCAGGCAAGACTTTGTGCTGCAGGCAATGCAAGAGAAACAAGGAACGGAAAGAATGGGAAAGACATCGAATGGTTCCGAATGGGTCACACTGCAAGAGTAGGCACGAGAGTTCCACCAACCTACATACATACAAGCTTTGGCTCAAGCAAATAAAGGAGATCCAGTCTGTGAAAGCTAAGACTCAGGAGGGGGTTGGGAAATGGGTGACAGCGCGGACAAGGGACTAATGAAGCAAATTAAAGACACCAATGAGGCAAGTACAATTGGAGCAAGAATGTGCTCAATCATGTTCAATCAGAGTTTGGGAGCGTTGGGATCCAAGTTGTTGAACTAAACCATCAGGCAAGCTGACGGAGAGAGTGAATGAAAGCCGAGGCAATGGAAGAGATCGAGGGAGAACAGTGAACGTAGGCACATTAAGGGAGAGTTCTCGAAAGGAAATGGACTTGCAAATGTTTGCAGAGCTGGTTTATTGAAGGTTCAATGCAAGCCGATAGGGTCTTCATTAAGACATGAGATGAGATTCTCACGTAAGCAGCTTAGGCTAAGGACACAAAGCTACGACAAGCGCTTCATGCTTCAGGTTCACAGTCTGCAACAAAGCAACAATAAGTTGGCTGTGTGCATGGGTGCTATGTGTGCTATGGATTTAAGGAGCGCACCAAAAACACACATACAGCATCATGCAGTGCATTTCAATGCCACTCCCAGTGCTTCAGCTTGCCTGTTTGCACGTGTCGCATAACCAACGGTGCTCCTGTCTGCACCTTGAGCTGCAAAGAAGCACAAAATCCAGATTGTCCAATACCGTGTTTGCCTTTCTGGGTGTGAGTTCATTTCAACGTAGCGCTGCCAGATCACAGGTTCACCATCCATCTCAAATCGTGAGTTGGTGTCTGGATACAGTGCCTGTCGAGGAGGCGGCAAATGCACAAGGCCAAAAACACTATGCGTGACAAAATAAGGCCTGCCAAAGAGTTTCCCCATTGGGAACCGTCAGGGCAGTCACTTCCTGGTGCCTTGCATGAAGAACAAGCATTTTTCTTGATATGACGGAACCAAACAACTTAAAGGCCATGACCTTGAGAATTTAGCTGCAGCGAGCCCTGTGACCATCTCGCTGTGCAAAAAGGCATCCGTTGTGATCCTAGAAGCTTGAACTGGTTTGAATAACCGCTGCATGTTGAATGTCACACAATGATCATATGGTGTTATAGATTCTTCTTCTTGGTTTCCAACTCGGAGAATGGACAAAGCTTGATCCGCACATTCTGACCGTAGTGCACCACATCATCCTCGAAACCTGGACAAAATGCACCCAATTCTATTCACCCCATTTCACTCGTCTGAGCAGCCAACCATCAGCATCGTCTGCACGTTCAATAAGGAATACATTTCGCAAACATGGGCTCCCAATTGGGCTTGTTGTAACCATGTATGCCTTGGCACACTTTCAAGCGGATTGATGGTTTTGAAGTCCGCGTTCCTGATCGTGTAACCCTCTCCTGCTCTGGGGTTCTGGCTGTGTGGGACTTTGTGACTACATCATACGGATTGACACTCCTGAGCTTCGCTGAGCACTTTGGCGGCACATACATGGCATGCGCTTCACACTTCCCTTGGTTTGAAGTTGGTGATGTGGAAATATAGAAAGACTGACAGCAGTAGTGACTCAGTAGTGCGTGTATATATATATACACACATACATACAAAAAACAAAGAGGACACATATGTCTTATTTGCTGTTAAATATGGGTTAATTGATTATATATGCATAATTGTATACTGTATATTATATTATAATGTATGTATGCATAATCCTTTGCGAACCTTTTCGCATCGTCGAATGAGGCCCCTGCAATGCGCCCTTGGATTGATGGTTCACCAGCATAACTTTCATGCCGAAGTGAAGCAGGCCATCAGGCGATGATGAGAGCTGGCGCAACACAAGGCACTATACTGGACAAGTACTCACAGCATCTGACGGGATGAAATGCACCTCATCCTGCTTTAAGGAAGACTCCAGTTGCCGCTGCCTTCAAAAAATCACAGCAATCAAAGCTGTGTACTCTTTCCAGAGTCGTTACATGGGAGACAACTTGAGTTTCACGCTGGGAGACCAACTTGAAGACCGCACCCATATTGACATGTGTGTGTGATTGCCATCAAGCCATATTATCCAGTCAAGTTGCTTCGCAGTGACGATGAGGCTACCAGTTTCCTGAAAATGACTGCCAAAACACATTCGTAGTGACAACTTGTGCGGGGCTCACGACCTTCTTCTTCAAGTAGTCCTTGAGCTTTATCTCCTCCAACTCCAGGTCCTGGAGAAAAAACAAAAGGTGTCCGGTATATTATATACATAAGCATACACCCCAAAACCAATAGTGATATTTTCTAGTTTAAAACAAACAATGCGTAACAATGCCATGCTGAATGGCTTCAGATGCTTAGCAATGCTTGTCAAATGGCATATTTCGACGGTCACGTGGCCTCGCTCCAGTTGCCAATTCGGGTCTTGTGATGATACTTTGGCCCACCGGTGAGCTGCTGCGGCGTGAACTGCATCCTACAAAATGTCAGGTTTGAAGACTCAGCAAGAGACAAAAGCGTTGCATACTCAGAGCCAGACTCTTCGAAACTAAGGCAAGGCCACAACTGTGCTTTGTCCTGTGAGCCTCAAAATATCAATGAAACATAGTCAGTAAATCAAGTATGACGAAATCGTGACCCTAGGCCTTCAAAACTCTTCAAACTAAGGAGGTTCAACTTGCCATAAACGCATGTCACATCTGCTGTGAGCAATCACGGAAACGCATGACTTTCTACTTGAACTTGAAACCAGTGAAGTCTGCGCTGGCGTCTTTGTTCTTGTCGTCTGGCTTGGTTGGTCTTTGGCAATGCGCAAATTCTTTGACGCTGCAGTGCCGTTTTGGCAGTCTGGGTACGGGTGTCCTAGGCTTATGCGGATCGTCTCACTCGATGGTTGGCCTCAACCACTTTTCTTGGAGTACACATCCATAAGTAGAATAAACATGGATAAACTGACTGCGTTCAATAGCTATCCTCAATCCTTAGTCGTCTTTCAATTGCAAGCGGCAACATAACTAGTCGGCCATGCTGCTGAGTTCCGCAACAAATCAGCATCGAACTGAGGATGACCTCAGGGTTGGCAGCTACATTACTACAACATACTGGAACACCGATCAACGCCGCGGCCGCTGAAAAGGTTTGCTTCGTAGAATCAAGGCCACTTACAGCTTGCTTCCCCGGATCTACTAGCAAAGACTTCTTTTGATGGCAAGCATGAAAACAACACAAGCGCGCCTAGCCAGACCTAGCTAGCAGTCGCTGGCTCAGCATCTCTGCCTCAAGATTGGAAGCCGCCACTTGAAACTCTTGGACGCACAAGCTTTGGTTCAGCTGTACTTGTAGCGAACTGTTCTTGCTTGAGCGGCTTTATGTCACTCATGTGCTGCCAAGCCAGGTAGAATGGGCATCAGTAATCCAATGACCATGACCAATCTGACACAAGCAGATTGCGACCCTATGTGATAGTGATTGCTCACTAACTTGTTCCAAAGGCCCTTACTGCTTTCTTCACAGCTGGCCTGGAAATGTTGATGTAGGATAAAATGGGATAAGCATAGCTTGATACAGTTGGTCCTTTTTTTGCACCTCTCTTGGTCCAACCAAGAATCTCGGCTTAATTGAGGTGAACAAACACTCGTTGCCTGGCACCCTTCTTCAGTGCTTCTGCTGCGCTTTTAGAATCAGCATTTTTTGGCTTTGGCCTGCACAAACTCAGCGGAAGATTCTGGAATGATGACATGTGATGACCGCATAACTCACAAGAACCCCGCCAAACCCACCCCAATTGCAAATAAAAACCCAAACCCACAAGCATGCTTTACTACGCCTTGCTGGGGCTTATGAAGGCTTATCAGGGCCTATGCCCCACTCAAACATAAGCCTAGGGTTAGCTCAAGTGAGAAGTTTCATGCAAAGAATAGATTACAGTAGAAACACTGCAGGCTGTGTGCAAACACAGCAAGATTTCCACTTGCTGGTACTGTACCGTTGCTTGCATTTGGTACACAAGGGAGGAAGGACATGATTGAGATGTCCTCGAACATGTGGAAAACATTGAAAATGTACTGAACATGTTCCCAATCTCTTAATTTCCGCAGCGTAGGCACGGTGTTGTAGGCAACCCCCTTGGAAAATAAACCACAAATAAGGCTCAATAAGGCATAAGGTTTCTTAAGCCCCAATAGGCTTTGATAAGGCTTAGTTTTTGAACCCAAGAGCTGGTGTCCCCACCTTAAAAAACTGAGTAAACCCAGTATTGCAAAACGATGTAAAATATACTTACTGTAAATCATCTTAAATCATCTTAAATCTCTTAGAGTTAACCAAAGCCTCAACCAACATGTTCATCGAGTGGTGATGTTCAACAAACAGTTGCAAACCTACCACAAGAACATCAGGCATGGAGTGCAGTCTTACAGTGTTTGCCAGGGAGGGAGGGGTTGAGGGGGGAATTGCGTTCCATGACTTTTGTGGGACTGCAACTAGTGTCTGAGCTTTCAGGGAGTAGTACAACTCTAGATTTGTCTTCGTTACCTCTAACTGTATAAGATATGATATACATAGATATCATAGATATACAAAATAGTTCCCCAGATAGCTGCAGGCTATAGGGGCTCTAACTTCTCAATGGTGTGGCTGTGGGTCGGCGTTTTGGCTTTGCAGGTGCTGCTGCCATGCTGATGCTGGCGCAGGTGGAGGCGCTGGCTCTGGATCGACGCTTTGGTTTTGCTGCTGCCGTGCTGATGCTGGTGCAGGTGCAGGTGCTGGCCGTGGATCGACGTTTTGGCCCACATAGCTGCAACCTTTAAGGGGCTCTTACTTCTCAGTGGTGTGGCTCTGTATCGGCGTTTTGTTTTGCGGGTGCTGCTGCCGTGCTGGTGCTGGTCCAGCGATGACATCATGTCATGCCCAGAAATGGCATCATGTCACGCGACAAACGACATCATGCCATGCCAGGGATGATAAACCATGATAAACCTATACACCCGCCATCTGGGGTCTATGCCGGTGTAATTTTGTAGATTCTTTGCATGTTGAAACAATATCTTCCGGACATGTACTGCTAATTGCATTCTGCACCACCCTCAAGCATGAAATGATGGATTTTGGGTGCACACACGTCATACAAATCAATTTCTGCCCGCTTCAAACATATGTCCAAGTAAACAAGTTTCTTTCCAGTTCCCGATCCACGAGCATCCCCAACAGGGTGAGGACGTCAGCGTCAGGACCAAAATTGACATCATTCTGTCATTCTAGTTCCCAGCGCAAAAGCCTGACGTCAAAGCCATCCAAGTCGCTCGAGTCCAAGTCCTTTCGCACAATTTCCAACTGATATGATATCACTGTATAGATTTCACATGTCCCGCAGCTAAAAACGAAGCACAGGTTGTGCAGTAGTGCTGGTTGGTCAACGGGTTTGATATAAATCAATGATATAAATGATATAAACCAATGTGTTTGCAGCATCGGCACACATGCACTGTTTGTTGAATTTTCGACAAACATCGCAAAATAGCACCGCTGGTACGCCGGCATGCTTGGTTATGCTGGTAAGCAATGTAAGCAACGTATTTGTAAGGCTGGGCTTGTGCGCACAGTACGTTCGATGAATTGTTTCCAGCATAGCAACTCACAACCAAATATTTCAAGTCGCAAAACACTTGTGCTTTGCTTTTCTAGAAGGACGTGTTCTGCTTCATTCGAGCTGTGGATGCTGTGGTCTCTTGCGGTTGGCCTCAATGTTCGGTTGCTGCTCGTTGTGTTGGACTTTCTTGTAAATTCAATACCCGGACCAAGTTGAGCGGTCACCAGCTAGTTCGTGAGGCTTGCCGTGTGACAATTGGCAAAAACATGCAAAAACATGCAACACTATGTAAAGGGGTTCCGTAGCGACAACGAGCGTCACTCTGCTGTTACTTAGCACAAGTCCTGGATGTCGAGCTCGCCCGAGACCTCTTTACCGCCAAATGAACCCTTCCAAGACAGCTTCACCTGGCGAGTCGAGGCCTTTTCGAACTTTGCGAAGCCACTCAAATTTTGATAGTCAACAGTCAACGTTCAAATTTGGAAAATGACAAGTGTCTATTTTTGCATGCAATCAACAAACAAACAAACAAACTGGGGTTGCAAGCGAAGTTGCCAATGCAATCAGCGCAGCAATCCTTGCCTTGAACTCGTAACCAAGACGGGACCTTGCAAGGCAAGTTCCAAGGGCCACGTACCCACCCCAGGCGTTTAAAACATGTTGCGGACACTCACTCTTGTCGGACACTCTTGCGGGACACTCTTGTAGACACCCTTGTACCACCAGGAGGCACTCTTGTAGAACTCTCTTGTGGAAAACTATTTTGGGACACTCACTGTCGTGGAAAACTCTTGCGGGACACTGCGAGACGCTCTTGTAGGGCACGTTTCTAGGCGACAGTCTTGTGGGAAACTCTCTTGGAAAACTCTTGTGGGACACTCTCATGACACTCTTGTGGGACACTCACTCTTGTAGGAGACACTCTTAGGGGACACTTTGCTTCCTCCCAAACTCTCCGAAACGAGCGTTTTGCACCGTCAACATGTCAAATCTACAGGATCTTGATTTGACAGGAGGTTTAGATAAATTTCAAGCTTCCATAAAACAGACAGAGGGTCACTGAACAGGCTAATTTTATAACAAATGTATTTGAGCGAGGTTTGATGTCATAGTTCTTTTTGTTGTGATTTTGTAAATATCTATGTGACCTTGACCTGACAGAGGTCTAGATTAATTATACAGAAGCTTCCCTCAAACAGAGATTCACTGTCATCCAGATCGATCCGGGGCCGTTCTCCATCCACGATACGTATTTAAACCATTAATCTTACATCTGAAAAAATGATCCAAGATGTTCATATATTTTTATATGGGTGTTGATCAAAATAAAGGTATCTGAGGCAGCTACAATCGCCGATCAACCGCGAATCAATCGCGACCCCAACGGTGTCAATCGCGGGAGAGTGCTCTCGTATGCAACACTATTTTACGCAAAGAATCGTCCAAACATTGCTACATATTACAGTATTTAGAGACATGGCATGAGCCAGGGCCTACACAGGCGGGCTTAACAATCGCAGCACAATCGCGAACCAATCGCGGATTTCGTCGACATTTTTTTGAGAATTGAATTGATCTGGGCTGGTAGACTTTGAACTTTGTTGTTCTGATTATTCTTTGCTATATTGGCTATCACTATTGAACACAGTGTCTAGGCAAACCCGAATACAGTGTAAGGCTGAACTGTAACATTATTATCATCCCATATAATACTGATTTCTCCTCTTACAATGGTCGATTCTGATACAACAAATGTTTGTCTCAATCGCGAACCAATCGCCGATCAACCGCGATGCAGGGTTTTACAATCGCAGATGCTGAGATACACATGCCCTTTCATAATTCTTAGATTTGCATTTACGAACGGCTCCCATATATACACTTGTTTGTGGGTTTATGTGGTTAACAATTCCAAAGGGCCATGAGATCTGAAGCCCCTACAGAATTAATAGCCAAATAGGGTGCCAAGTTGTAATATATAGTATATTGTTTTTGTTTTTGTTATTTTTTGGGGGGCTTGGGATTACTGTATGTATTCCTAAGTGCCTTGACATCCGAATCCCCTAAAAAGTAATTTATATAATGACCAACTTTTTGGTCTTTGCAAAACTCCTTGACTATCTATTGCAAAGTGCCTTGACATCTGAACCCCCTACAGAATAAATTGATGACCGCCTGACAAGACCTGGAAGAACCTCCCAGTTACGTAGTCTGCTCTCTTCAATTTCCGGCAACGTGAAGCAACGTTCAAAAATATTGTCCAGTCTATCCTTCTTTGAAGATGTGGCTGTTCTGTTCTCCATTGTTCTCCAATTCTACTTTTTGCTAGTGGATTCTATCCAAGCCTCTGCTCAAAACCACAATGAAATTGAACAAGCAACGTGATCTGCCATGATGTTTTTTCCGCGAAAAAGGTGAAGGGACCATCTACCCGCATCCCCCCTGAAAAGACTTCCGCGGAAATTACTATGTAGAAATATGCAGAAATTAGTCCAGGAACTGACGGGGATCGGTGGAATATTGAATTAGTGCATGCATGGGCAACTCAAATTCTCTCAAGCGAGCGTTTCGTGCAAGACTTCCTTCAAAAGTGAAGCGGGAAGTCTCATCAGGGCGAACACATCTAGCAATCCTGCCAAGTAGCTTCGCCAATCCCAATGGCACAGCGACACTCACCTCCACCAAACATCGCAACCTCACGATTCCCTGTGCCTGCCACGAAAAATCAACTTCGACACCTCCAACGCGCACAAAGTTCTGCGCCTGCCACGAAAAGTGACGACATGACATCTTCATGTCCTCAGCAAAGTTTGCACCACACCGCGCGAATGATTTCGGCACTTTCTGAGCACCCTCACGTCCACCAAAGTCAGAGCTTAGCCTTGTCATGAAAACGAAGCTTCGAGGCAACAGCCTGAAACGCAAATCCCAGTGTCACAGCCACATCCAGCACCTCCAACACACCACCCTGTGACCGCCAATCCCACTGTCACAGAGAAGGAAACTACTAAAGATCAGACAAAACACTGCACCTGCGCAGCAAAATCATCCTCCCTGTTTGAACATGTTGCGTTTCTACTATCTACGCTATTTCACACGAATCTGCCACGTCATGCTTGCCCCACTGTCACGGCCGTATCGATCACATTCTGTCGTTCGCGAACGGCGGCGAACGCTTGCGAACATGAAAGCGACATCACGCAAACTACCCCCAGACCTCCAGAGATAAGCGGGAACCCTTCGCTACACATTCGGGAAAATCTTGATCTCTGCATGTCAAACTGCATGGATTCTCAAAACTGCCAAATTCTAAATCGAGTCCTGACACTGTGAGGCTTGAAGGCACCTCCCACGGATGTGGTAAGCTTGCGAGTCCCCGGTCACAGTGGCATTGAATCCCTGCACCTAGAACTAGGTCAGGTCAATGCTCAGTTTGATTGAAAATGGTTTGCGAATTTAAGCCTGAGGACTCGGGCATAATTTACAACTGCATTTTAAAAAATGCAGTAATACATGTATTCCTCTGGGACCTGCAAAAACCCTACGCATGTACAGTGGTTTCAGAATAGATAGCACAAACTCCAAGATGTCTTTTGGAAGAGGGTCCATGTAAACCACCTTCTGGGGATTGTGCCATCTAGTCTGAAACCATTGTAGTTTGATGTAGTTTGCATATGTTTGCATGGCCAAGCCTTGTTTCCGCCTTCATCAAGCAAAGCAAAGCTCTCGTCCGTCAAGATCTGCGGAGCACGCATGCTGCTCTTTTTTCTGCAATAACAAAACCATTCCTTGGGTTAACATGCATAAAATCTGGCCATTTTATCGACACGTCCCTGCACGTCCTCCAACGTAAAAAAGGAACCTGTGAGGGTTGGCTGGAGGTTTTGTAGCGAAGTTAAAGATTTCTGGACCCTACCTACCGGTCCTTGTTTTGTCGTGTTTGTCCTCTTTGGTACTGAAGTTTTCTGGCAGAACCGATATTTACTGCAAACGCGTTCTCAATCTGTCTCATGAGTCTCAACGCCTGAACACGGGGAACAAAAGCCGGTGTGAGCTAGCCAGGCTGAGTGCTTTGAGAATTGTGCTGCATCTCACTTGCTTGTTTGTGATTCCCTGGCAAGGCACTCTACAAACAACCACTCGCTCCAACGAGGGGGTCCAAATGACCCCCGCAAAAAACTGTGCGAACGAAGAGGTGATGATAAAAAACGCAAAGAAAAAGAGAGACATGGGTGTGGCCAGAAACCCTGGTATGGATCCTTCCGCGCTGCAGCGAGAGTGATCCAAACCCTATGGATCAGAGCGCTGATCCAAGCCCTATGGATCAAACCGACAAGTCACTTGATCCAAGCCCCCGATATAAACACATCTGCATGGTGGCGCTCCACCCCACCACTTTCTCACCAGTTCACTGTGAAGGTGGTGGCTTCCACGATCAAAGCCATCCTGTTTGTGGCGAGCCTGTTTTGAAGTACTGGCCGCCGCTAAATTCATTGGGCTCCACTGTCCACATATTGGGCCATGGTTGGGTAGAGTGGGTGGCAATGGGCGCTGGTTCACTTTTGGGCTAACAAGAGGCCTTGCGGATTAAGTTTTCGGGATCCACTAACCTCATTTCTCCAGCCCTTGTTTTGGTTTAAGAAGACGATGCCAGAGGCACAAAAAGGCCATTAGCTAGCCACGCAAATTGGTGATTCAGTGGGCTCTCAAGTCATTTAGTAGGTGGTGGCTTCGCAGCTCTCAGATTGGAGGCTCACTCCGAGCACTGGTTAGTGGCTGCCGCTAATTCTTTTTGGCCTTCCACTATCTTGTCTTCTGGCACCTTTAATGTGGTCTAGTTGGGTTGGCTCCTCCACTCAGAGGCTTCCATAGCCTAATGGTAAAAGAGTTGGTCTTCAATTCTCTACTTCCACGGTATCAGGAATTGATCAGACTTAGCGGATTCTACTAAATCTTTTGCCAGAATGGGAGGTCAATTTGAACTTGAATCTAGTGGCTGCCGCTAAATCTGTGGCGGCGGTAATACTAGTGATGGTAGTGAGTCGCAGTAGCAGCAGTAGTGTAGTAGCAGTAGTGGTAGCAAGTGTAGTGGCAGTAGCAGTGGGAGTGGTGGCAGTAACAGCAGTAGTAGCAGCAGAGGTAGTAGTAGCAGTAGTTGTTGTTGCGGCAGTGGTAGCACTAGTAGTTGTGCGATCCAACCACCTTTTGATCCATACCCTATGGAGCGAGGTATGGATCGTGTGTGGGTTTGGGTGTGTGGTCCAAGCCTTATGTTTCTGGCCGTAGCCACATGTTCGTTCACCGCCCTCCTGGACCTCCTCCTGTTCCAACACCTGTTTCCGAGATGAAACGCACTACGACCCGGAACCCTTTCAACCAAGAACGCTATACATGATCTGTCTAAAGACTCAAGACACAAAGGCTCTGCCACTGCCCAACAAAAGTAGTGAACGAAGAAAATTGGGACAAAAAGCGCCAAAAAACTCTTGTTCACAACTCTTTCCCAATAATTGTCAGATTTGGGGCCCATCTAGTCAGCTCCTACCCTCACTTCATTGGCCAAAAACGACTTCGTTACCGGCTGGCTCTCGCAAGTTATTACATGGTATTCCCATATATTTTACTGTTGAGTCGCACAGCGGACAATCCCTTTCGTTTAGTGTAGCCCCCGTCAAAAACACATCTCCTGCGATGTTTTGTCTAGGCCATATGGTTAGGACTTGAGGCCGAGGGTAGGTGACGAAAGCTAGCAGGGGTGCATCCGGACTGGTGGGACATCAAGCGGAGTGAGGCAAATGCTCATGAGGTAAAACGTTGTGAACATGTAAGACACACAAACAGCAATGACACAGCCAACCTTAGAATTGAAGTCCCCGATAATTAAGGAAGCGTGGCTGGACTTTGCCACACTGTTCGATGCATCCGATGTGTTCACGAACCTGTGAGCTTGTTGAATCTGTTGCACCGTATCCCAAAACCTCCACGGAGGAGTTGAACCAGTGTGGATGCCATAAGAGGTGCCCAAGAGGTGTCCCAGAGGCAAAACAAAGCTGCTTGCATGATTTGTTTGGTTTCTTCTATCGATGTCGATGTCATGAACATGTGAGCTTGTTGAATCTGCTGTTGGATCGTCATGTATATGTAATGAGGGACTGAAGAAAAGCAACGCAGCATCATGAGCATCACGGAAAGTCACAAACCAGGCGTATCAGATACACCTGGTTTATGTATGTTTGTTTGAGCATCTTTGTCGAGTGAAGTGTCAGCCATATGCAGTGAGATGCCGAAGGAAGCTCAAAGGCACGTGTATCTGATACGCCTGGTTTCTGACTTCCCGTGATGCTCATCATTGAAGCCTTGAACCCTCGCGTAAATTTCATGTTTCATGCCCCCCCTTCCAAACTCAAACAGTGGCCTACTTCACCTGCCACCTAAACATAGCACTATAGCACGTACCGGAAGCGTCCCAGGGGGGAGTTGAACCCGCGGGGGGGGGGGGGCCCCCCTACACGTGAAGTTTTCACGTGATTCATGATTCTCGAGGCTGCGAGCCCTTGACTTGCTAAAGCAAGAGCAACTCCAGCTAGCTGATGCTAGCTTTCGTGAATAGGTCTTGTAATCTGTTTAGCATCTGGGATGGAGGTTCTTCAGCATTTGGAATTGTGTTTGTGCTTTTGTTAATCATGAGATGGCACAAATAAATATGGTTCAAAAATGTTCAATTATGTTTCAAGATGTCTTACTGTAAGTATACACCTGTTATAGTTTGATGAATCAAAGTTTGAACGATCTGATACAGTGGACCCTGCCAAAGGATCATGAGCGGAATTCAATGCTAGCGTGTGTGAGGACTGAAAGACTTCAAATGTGTCACTTTGTAGACTTTAAACTTTAAGCCTTACCCGCAACAAATCTTTATCTTTACCTTTTGCCCTCCAATGTACCCAATATGATCTGAAAACTGACGTTGATAGTATTTGTCCATCGTGGCAACTAACTCTGTAGGCTCCTGGAGGCCTGCTTCACGCAATCCCCCCACGGCCCTAACGCTGTCTTGGAAGAATGTTTTGGTAGTCTTTCAACGTCCTGTTTACCCATGCTCCCTGAACCTCTCACAAGCTTGGATACGTCGGATACGTAGATTGTATTACAGTAGATTGTTAGTTAGCAAACTGGCAATGCAGAAGAGAAGCGGTGAAAGACACCTCGCCACAAACTGCGGACGTGGTTGGGCCAGAATCCTAGAATTTGTTTTCCGCATTAGATGAGAAAACATGGAGCCACGAGGCACCGGCGAGGCACAGAATCTACAAGTGAGCATCTATTGACCTTCATTTTCTCTGCAAGTCAACTGCATGTTTGGGCATGAAGCGTGTGATGCAGCTATGACATTGTTTCGTCCAAACTTGCAGTGCCACTTGCCGATGCACGCGGTAACTTAGCTGCAGGTAAAGGCGCGAGCCACCAGCTACACAGGAAACTGAACTTGGTTTTGTGGTTTGCTATCATGGGGCTTCTTCGAAACTTCAGACTTTGAAGTCCGCTGTCAAACCAACGAGTTCAGCCCCCAGTCCAAAGTGGCTAGGGCTTCACTTGCGCACACAAAAATCACCTCACTTGCGCATGCGGGGTCGACAGAACGCACCTACTTAATTATGAAGGGATGTCCAAAACCTCACGTGCGCACGCAAAAGTCACCTCACTTGCACACGCAGCAACTCACTTGCGCACACTGTAGGGAGACGCTCTTCAAGGAAAAGCTTGAACCGATGGTAAGATTTAGAGGAGGAAGGTGCTATTCCAACGGCGCATGCCTTTTGTGAGCCACCCGAGGGTAGAGGAGAAAGGTGCCACTCCAACGCTGCATACCTTTGGTGAGCCACCCAAGGGGAAAAACTTAGAGGAGGACAATGCCATTCCAATGCAGCAATATGTCTGTGAAATAGGGGCAAGTTCTGGGAGCGTAGGTTCCGGGGAAGATTCTGAAGCAAGGTTTGCGCGTGTATAAGCGAGGCGTTTTCCGCGTGCGCAAGCGAGGGGATTTCCATGCGCACAAGCGAGCGCCATGCCCTTAGTCTCCCCACCAGCCTTCTCGAGCTCAGCCCTTGCTGGCACGCTCATGTCCTTGGCCGTTGTTCCCGCTCAGAAGCTTCCAGTCTGGCTCTAGATTGCACTATTTGCCAATCGTTTCCTTGCGAGTTCAGATCATTTTTGTTATACAGGTCCATCTTTTGATCTCTGGTGGCTTGTGCTTGTCCTTCTCCTCCCAAGTTCCAGCAGAATTCCAACTGGCGCACTGCCAAAATGGCCCAGCAAACATCAAACCAGAGCATACAAACCAGCGCTCTATTTGTTGGCTTGGTCAGAGCGGCAGCACAGTAGTGATGTTTATATACATAACTGTTTGATATTAATAATTGATCATCTTGATTGACAAAGCACTGCTCCACATCACACCTAGGGCAGGTTTGGAGGGTGATGCGGATTTGGCACAGCCTGGAGCCCACGGAGTCCTTTACATCCTTTACATCCTGGCAACAAGGTCAAAACTGTTGACAGTTGACACCTCTGGAATCTGGAACATTTTTGTGTTTGCTTTGCTGAAGTGCGTGTGAATAAAACCCACAAGAATGTAAGGACTTGCATGTGTGCATGCGCACGTGTGTTATTAACCAACATTACCAGTACGAAGCAATGAAACGGTCTGCAATTTGCAGGGTGAGGGCGGAATCATGAACACAGAACAATCCAAACATGAACCGGAACATGAAGTGAGGAAGATCATAAACGATCGCACATACAGTACTGGAGCATGTTGGGACAATGTCAAACAATGTCCGCAGTTTTGACAAGCCTCTCCGAGCTCCACAAAAGGATTTTAAGAAAACGTCACCAATGTCTTGATATTTTGCTGTCCCTGTGTGTCTTATCCAGTGAAGGACACGCACAGGTTGTGCTCGAAGAGGCCCTGGAAATAACTTTTGACGCATCCCCCGTTCATGCTCACACTAACTATCTTCGCACCAAAGCCCCCTAACCCCCACCTGCAGAACTTCAGGCCTTCAAAAAAACGTTAGGTGGTGGATCGTCCTTGCTTGTGCCGTTGGGTAGACTTGTATGAGTGCCGATGACAACCCAGCAAATTTGACAACCCGCCGACGGGCAATGGTGAGAGGGGAATGAATAGAATGACGTTGCGGCCCGTGCTGCCGGACCCTGCGCAAAAGCATTTCTGCTGAGACCGGCTCAAGGTTTTGGGGGTGCAAGTGACATTGATGGAACTGACTGAGGCACGAAATATGGACATTTTTAGGGGACTGCCAAAAGGACTTCGAGAAAGGACTAATTCAAGGGGTATAGTATTGTCCAATCGTGCAAAACACATGGAGTTGAAACCCTCCAACAATATACTATACATCTTTCGGGGTGGTGCAAACACTCCGAAAACATCACTTCAGTGTCCTTGAGACTCTGCAGCTTGCATTTCCAGCATTACCTAAATGACAGGCCATAACAACTTGCGGCGTTGAGACTCTGCAACTTGCGGCGTCCTGCTGAGCGTGCATGGTTGGGTGCCTTTTTTTGACCATTGATCGTGCTGGTGCATTCGGCCATGCAGGGGCTTTAGAAAGCAGTTGGGTTTGTTTTTGCTCACGCCCCCCCCAACGGCCCCGGAGAATTTCCACATTTTCACCATTACCCAAGGTGATACTACGTTGGGGATGGGGTGGGGATGGGGTGGGGTCTGTTAACATTCGCTTGCACTTGCAAACCA